GCCTCAGGCTCCAGAGCTCCTGCAGACCTGGAGCACCCTCACACCTCTGTCCCCATTCCTTACCTGCACCACCGAATGCAGGGGTGGCTGGGCAGGTTTCACTTTGCCATCCTCCATCAACCCCGTCGCCACGAAACTGAATCCTCGGAAGAGCTGATGGGCCCCTGCACTCGGGGGGACACCCGGGGAATCTGCAGCAGAGGGGAGAGACAGCGTGAGCAGGGCCAGTCCTGAGCAGGAGAAGCCTTCCCCTCGCTCTGGGGAGCTGTAGCTCCTCTCTAATTCATAATTTACACCAGTAAAGCTCACCCCTAACATTCCACAGAGAATCTGGAATTGTCCAGTTGGAAAAACCCTCTAAGATCAGCAAGTCCAGCCATTCTCCCAGCACTGCCAAGGCCACCACTAAACCATGTCCCCAGGTGCCACATCCACATGGCTCCACCACTGTCCTGGGCAGCCTGTGCCAGGGACTGACAACACTTCTGAAGAAGTCCTACAAACCTTTTGGTGTCCGTGACGTGAATTCAGTGTCAAAATAAAAGGTGTCATCTGGCTGCCCCACTGCAGGCTTGAAGGGGGGTTTGATTTCCCTGCGGTACAGCTTCTGCAAAACACACAAAACCCAAAATAAATCAGCTGAAAAAACAGCTCAGAAGTGCTCCCACWGAGGGGGACCTTCTCCCAAAGGGTGCAAAGGCTGGGGAGGAATGAGGGACCAGGAGGAGATTTTGTGACACTCTGTGGCCTAACATTTCACTACAGCTCAGCAGCCTCAGGGAAAGAAAACCTGCACCTCTCTGCTGAGAGATGAATAAATTCACACTGAGGTGAGGTGACAGCAGCCCAGGTGTGAGACAGTTACATAACAGAGAATTTGAGTTTTGGGAAGGGTTATTGGAATGGATGGGGACAGGGACTGGTGGCTCTACTGTAGCTGGCCAAGCATCAGGGCTGTGCTATTTCTATTCCTGCTGCCAGAACTGTGCTCCTGCTGCTGAGAAATTTGCTGTTTGTGGTACTCACGTTCCAGTCGATGGTGGAGTAGAAKGGGTGGCGTTTGATCTCCTCTGCCCCATCTGGCCCAGACCCTGCAAGAAGAACCAGATCACACTGTGCTGAACCCAGCATGGCCAGGGTGACACAGGGACAGCCTGGTCTCACAGGAACCTGCCTGGCCCAGACCCTGCAAGAGGAACCACAGATCACATTGTGCTGAGCCCAGCATGGCCAAGGTGACACAGGGACACAGCACAGGCAGTGTCACAGGAACCTGCCTGGCCCAGACCCTGCAAGAGGCACCACGGATCACACTGTGCTGAGCCAGGTGACACAGGGACACAGCACAGCCAATGTCACAGGAACCTGGGACCACAGCAGGGAGCACACTGCTGACCTGGAGGATGGGACAGGCACCCATCTGGCATCAGGTGCATTCAGAAACAAAAAAAAAAAATAGTCTTACCTAATCTGTTGGCTGGATTCCTTTTGAAAAGGGCTCGCAGGAGGCTCTGAGCCTCGGCGCTCAGGAACTGTGGCATGCCCAGCTTTGCTCTGGGGAGGAAATTACACCATCAGCTGCAGGCTTGAAAAAAACCCACAGGGCAACTGCAGCACCTCCACCCCTAAATGCACAATCATCAACCTGGCATTTACACTGCACCCTTCACACTGACTGCTGATGTGACACCACTTGCCAAATAACGCCACAAAATTGCAAGAGCCCCCAAATTGCAACACCCTGCCTGTGCAGACAGGAGAGAGAAACTCCTCTTACTTGAGGATGAGGGTCATGGTGTCCTTGCGGTCCTTCCCCTGGAAGGGCAGTGAGCCCGTGAGCATTTCAAACTGGGAGCAAAGAGAAGAAGGAGGGGTCATGTGTGTCAGGGTTTGTGTGGGAACGTGCCCGGGCTGCTCCTGCCACAGCCCCGCAGCTGCCAGAGGATGGCACCAGATCTGCAGTRACAGCGGTGTCCCGGCCTGGGGGGGACAGGGACACCCCAACGCACCTGTACATCCCCCCATGAACATCCCCTGAATCTCAAACACCCCAGAAACATCCCCACACACCCCAACGCACCTGCACACAACCCCCATGAACATCCCCATGTATCCCAAACACCCACAGACAGTCCCACACACCCATGGACACCCCAACGCACCTGCACACAACCCCCATGAACATCCCCATGCATCCCACACACCCCACGGACACCCCCATGAACATCCCCATGTATCCCAAACATCCACAGACAGTCCCACACACCCATGGACACCCCAACGCACCCGCACACATCCCCCATGAACATCCCCTGAATCCCAAACACCCCACACCCCCCCATGAACATCCCCATGCATCCCAAACACCCCAGAAACATCCCCATGAACATCCCCATGCATCCCACACACCCCACGGAAAACCCCCACACACCCCATGGACCCCCCACACCCCAACGCACCCGCACACATCCCCCATGAACATCCCCATGTATCCCAAACACCCCACGGACCCCCCACACCCCAATGCACCTGCACACAACCCCATGAACATCCCCATGTATCCCAAACACCCCAGAAACATCCCCATGCATCCCACACACCCCATGGACCCCCCACACCCCACCCTCGAGGGATCAGCACTCCCGACTGTTGGCCCAGACAGCCCCAGGGAGCTCTTTTGGGGTGTGGGATCCCCTCAGGGTCAGCAGGATGGGCACACACAGCCCCGTGCCAGCTGTGCCCGCTGCCAGCCCCGGTACCCACCATGAGCACCCCGTAGGACCACCAGTCAGCRCTGTGTGAGTGGCCCTGGCGATTCACCACCTCGGGGGCCATGTACTCCACAGTCCCACAGAACGAGTAGGCTTTCTTCTCGTGGTCTATGGCCTCCTTACTCAAACCAAAATCTGCACAGGGGAAAGCAGTCAGCTTTCTGGGAGCATCTCAAGCAGCTCAGTATTTCAGGAGCTGACCCTGCTGGAGCCTCTCACCTGTGAGTTTGATGTGCCCCTCTTCATCCAAGAGGATGCTGCAGCAGGRATGGAAAAACAAATTGTTACTGTCTGTGGTGAGGGCTGGTGAGAAGAGCACAGCAGGGGATGCTCTGAGATGCTCCCAGAGTCCAAAGGAGTGACCAGTCCCTTCTCAAATGGCCCTACAGGATCCCCACAAAGCCCAGCTGGGGTGGCCCTGCAGAGCCCAGTCTGTCCCTTCCCCTCAGGATGGAGCCTGGACAAGGATCTCTG